GCCTAAAGTTTTGGGTTCGCACATAAAACAAAGGGGGGAACAAAGTGAAGGGTATTTTTGGAAGAAAATTTAAAAATATCGAAAAGCCTAAAGTTTTTGGGTTCGCACAGAAAACAGAGGGAGGAACAAGGTGACGGGTATTTTTGGAAGAAAATTTAAAAATATCGAAAATGGGGGGGATAAAAGCAAAGCTTAAGAAACTTGGGTTGGCATTGTTGAAAAACCTTAGATTCTAGTGGCCTATGTGAACATTTTAATGATTGAAAGTGGCAAAAGTGAGGTTTTCCTCATCTCTCTCTCTTCCCTCACCACGTTCTGGAGATCTAGATAAAACCATGACTTGTTTAAGACCTCGTCCTTCCTTGACTTCCACAATAACTGGTCGAACCGTTAGTGCTTCGACCCACCTAGAGTTATGGGGTCCTCCCTGTGGAGACCTCCGGAAAGGGGAGCCCTTAAACTTAATTTTGACGGTTCCTCTCTTGGCAACCCGAGACCCTCGGGCATGGGGGATTCCTATGTGATGGAGGTGGACGCATCTTGATGAGCTTCTCTAGGGCTATTGTAATAGCCGATTCGACTCTTGCCGAGGCCTCTGCCCTCTTGGAGGGCCTTCGGAAGTATGATTCCTCCTTAGGTCCCGACCTCATAGTTGAAGGTGACGCCAAAAACATTATTTCCTGGACATCTAATCGCTCAGCTTGGCCATGGGGCCTTGATGACATCTTCGAAGAAATTTTATTTATCACTAGAGACCTTAAGTCACTTGGCAATATGTGTATAGAGAAGCCAATTTTGACGCTGATGAGTTGGCCATGGAAGGGGCTTCCAGTTAATTTTTTTTCCCATCCCTGCCTTTTACCGTATTCATTGTAATTTTTTGTGCATCAATTGGACCTTGCGTGGGCTTGTACTGTGAGACCCTGCGGGGGCTCCACGCTTGTATTTTCTTTTTGGGTTATGAAATACAGCGAACTTTACTCCAAAAAAGGAAAAGAAATTGGATTATGGGTGATAGTATCCATGAACAAGTTCAAAAAATTTAATTTGAAGTTTTTCACTAAAAATGAAAAACGTAGAATAGGTCTGTCGTTTGTGATGAAATTATTATGTTCTCTCTCTTTTATTTGTGGGTAGTTTAGTTGGTTGGATTTGAACTTGGGACATAGTATTGCTAACTTCAGCACATAGTCAAGCCAAGCCTGATTCCTAGTCTGGCAGTAAGTTATTGAAAATAGAAAACCAAGACTCCTAAACGTATAAATTATTCCCCAAGTCATTGTATTCATGATATTATTTCTCTATTTCCTTGTATACCATTATTCATGAACCAAAAAAGGGCAGGTTTGTATCATTAGCTATTGCGACAGACTTAAGGTTTGATCCCCCGGCCTCCTTCATGCAAACCTGATGTCTTCCACTAGATCAGATCCGAAGAGAGTAGCGAAACTCCCATTGATCAACATTCCTAGGATAATGGCGCCGATCTCTCATGATTCAATCCACTAAGAAAATTGATATATAAGAGTCAATGTATGTTCCTTTGGAAGTTCTCTTCTGCATTGTAAATGTGACCGATAAAAACATATACTGTACCTGATTTAAGCCAAATGGTCGAGAAAGATACTAATACAAAGTTCTAGATTATGGTTTTAGTTCGAAGTTCTTTGTTTTATGTTTGTGGCTGAGGCATCATATGTTTAGCATGTGTCTTTTATTGATCTACATGTAATAAATTTTTGTCCTGACATGTGTCCTACTATTGCAGCCCTGCCAATAGGTGAATATGCTGCTGTAGCTCTTCTTCTGTTCTTTGGATTCAAGTCAATAAAGAATGCTTGGGACATTCCGTCAGAAGTGGCGAAGAGTGGTAAGGATGGCCCTGAACTTGGCGAATATGTCGAGGCCGAGGAGTTGGTGAAGGAAAAGGTCGGATTCCCCATCCTAAAACTTTCATTGTTCATCATATTTGAAGAGGAATTATTATAAAATTTACCCATGGATCTAATGTTCCATTCAACCATATATATCCTTGAGATATACTCATCTTTCTAGTGAATTATTATCATATCCCCACGAAATGGCATGGGTAATCAGTGATGGGGATTGGCGCTTTATTTTCTTGGGGCAGTGATGATAAAGAGTCAGGCAAATGGATGATACCATATGCTAGGTTCATCCAGACCATCGATGCAGTCCAGTAGCATTCAAACTTCAGTGTCGGATTCAGGCATTTAGAAACATTTTTCAGCCTAGTTTGCTGGGCAAAATCCACATGGCAAATTTTGCCCCTGATAGAGCCTATACTGCCATTTCCAAAATGGGGTCATAATAGTGACCTTGATATCGGAGCAAAAAGTTATGCCTACGTGAACTCGGGGCATCTTTTCCAGGGTCATTTTTTAAGATGAGTTCGTCTTAATTTAGTTCAGCAAGAGGGAAAGTGCCATTCATGTTTAATTTTAATTTTCTAATTAGATTGGAATTAGGATAAGAGGTCTCAATAAAACCTATAGATAGGGGTTAAGCTGGGTATTGTTATAGATATGAGTTATTCTTTAGAAACATTATTTCTTTGCATTCTTATTAATTTTGCAGAGCCATTGAAGCAAGGTTTGTTAGTCTTCTTTTAATTTCAAGTCAGTTCATCAGGTTAATCATAAATCTTTGTGCTTTTTTTCTGATGCGAATTGAAATCAAGCGTCCATTCACATGGCTGGTCCATATCAAACAATGGTACATGAGCCTTCTTCAAGCAGTGGGTGGGCTTGATCTGGACCTGCCCTAGGATGGTTGCTTTCATTACTGAAGTCTCTCTTGCTTAAAAGCAGTGATCTCTCCTACATATATTTCCCTTATTCACTTGATCAACCAAATTCCGATTTTTTGCGTGCACTCATGAAGTCTATCCATACACATACATTCACACTTGCAGCCATATATACTCACATTGTGTGAGCGTGCCTGACATTGTTTCTAACCGTATCTCGTCCCTGAATTGCGCATCTTCAACTCATTGAATCATCATTTTACATGTATAAGTTCGGTCCAAAAAGGGATGACGAGGTCATTTTAAGGCTTCATGGAGTCTATCTGATTTGTAAATATACATTCCTAGAATGCATAGTTTGATGACTAACTGATTTGAATTGCACTGACTTGAGTTGAACCATCTTGATAAGAAACAGAGTAACTTTACTACTAGGTTTCCACATGGACTTGGCCAGGCACCTGAAGAGTGTAAATGACGATAGCATGAGCATTTTGTTATTTTATGTATATTATGATTGTATCATTTGTAGCAGTTTTGATGTGTACCTACTATGCAATTTTCCCATTTGTACAAGGTATTATCGGAATTTCTCCCTATTCCCAAGGGAAATGTGGCCATTGTGCATAGCATATTACTTAGATGAGAGGTCATTGAGATCCTAATGCATTAGTCACAGTTTCACTCAGTGTGTGCTATTCTATCTACCTTCTCGTCCTCTCTCCCAAATCATTGTTCTTGGCCTTTTAACATGGTAGTAGTGCCATAAACCATAGAAAAGATGAGTGTTTGCTGACAAGAAATTTGTCTTTCAATAGTGAAACACATGCCTCATAAGGGATTTCTTTTTTCCCTCACAATTGATCTCAGTTGGAGGAAATAATTCTCAAGACATTAATATTGTCAAGGGGTTCTGTAGATTTCTTGAGGCTGTTGCAGTCCACTTAAGAGCAGTTTTGGCATATAAATATATTATAATGCAAACAACATTAGAATCATGCAAAACTAGAGACATTCCAAAAGATAATAGATTCATTTTCTAGGCAAGTCTTTACTAGATTCGGATCTCGTTTGACTAGTAAAGTTGCTTCTCTAATATTGCAAACTTCGTAATTTTCAGATCGTTTTTTTCTCCCATTCACAGCACATAACCTAGAAGGTTCACTATAATCCTACATTATAATCCTATGGAATATGGCATAATCCTAGTATTGAGTTAGCACTGTCCGGTGAAATGATAAGCAGTGATGGAGAGAGAATGGGACCTGCAACATGACCACGGTGGTGGGTCTGACCAGCTTCCATTACCATCCATCATTTCAATGGAAGGTGCTGCTTTATTGGATTTATGGTTTTTCCACAAATCTGTAGGGGCCTATTTGTTTATTTTCCACAGTTGTGACATTTACTTTCTCTTGGGGAATAATGTATTTTTCATCAGTTAATCATGCTAGGAAACCATTGATGGATCAGAAGTTAGTTTTGTTTAAAGTATATATTAAGTACTAAATTTTCTTACCTGGTTTTTATTGTATTTTAGGTAGCAAAGAAGCTGGCAACAACACCAATTGAAATCATCTGGAAGTCTTTCAGTCTTGTATTTTTTGCTGTGAGATGGAATCTGTTACTGAATTTATTTCAGATGCGTGCATGGGCCCTATTTCATTTCCTAACCAGTGACTTGGTTTCACTCTATTTGGAGCTTCTCTCCTCTCAAATCCAAAACAATTAAGGGAGATTGGTACATTGAGTGTGAACATGGACGGGATATGCATGCAAAAATTGATGACTTTTATATTGGACTTTATTCCTAAAAGAAAAGGAGAAATTGATATGCTCATCAAACATTTGCAGGAGTGGGGTGATCGATCTATGCTAGCCACTATTGCTCTAGGTGCAGCACAGGTAGGCTTTTCAGTGTGGGAATCAAATTATTATTTCTATTCTTAGTCAACTTTCACTGCTTCAAAAAAAAGAAAAAAAAAAGATATTTTGGAGCTTTCCCTTGAATGTGGCATCCTTGCAGTCGCCCTGGGGTGTCGCTAGTGGAGCCATTGCCGGTCATCTAGTTGCTACATCACTTGCAATTGTTGGGGGGAGCGTTTCTCACTAACTATATTTCAGAAAAATTGGTCAGTCCTCTCTCTCT